GTTTTAAAAAACAAAGCAGTTCTATAAAGACAAAGCCGTAAGCCCCGGTGTCAAATGCTCTTTGCCAAACGTATATTCATATGCAAATGTTTGGTCACACTTGGGGTCAAAAGCCACATGTTTCCGGTGTGTACGAAACGTATTTTCATTATTATTTTTAGAAATGTAGTCGAACTATTATTTAAGTTTTGATTTTTGGCAGTATTTTTGATATTGTATTTGTTTTTTGAGATCAAAATGTGAAAAAATATATATTTATGATGTAAACAATTTTGACCTCGTGATTGTGAATCCAAGATGGCGTCACCCACGTAAGATCCAGCGAGCGTGAACTTCCCACTCGGATCGCATATCGTGCTCAGATTCGGATGAATTAAGTGAAGCATAATTGAAAATAATATATTTATCAAGAAATCAGGAATTCTAATCAAGAAACGTGTGGAAATTGGAGTGACACTTGTGCTATTTCTTGGAAGAAAAGCCTCAATTTTACATGGTATAACAATGGCGACAATTCGTAATTCAGACCTCAGTTGTCTCGAATTGTTCACAATTGTGTTGAACAGACAACATCAATGATTAAAAAAAATACATAAAGATGGATAATTTCAGCCAGAAAAACTATTATTGCTCGAACATAGTAGCGTAAGTATCGTGACTCGTAACAGTTGTTGTACTTAACTGGAAGACAAGCAATGAGAATAATCAACCCCATGTTTAATTTACCGGGACCGGCCAAGCAAAGAAACAGAAAACTCAGTATTTCTGCAGGACATTTGTAATACTAAACATGCAGTGCAATAATTGTATACAGATTGTACATAAAATAAATAGAAAAAAAACTTGTTTTGTTTTATTTCCCCATATGACAAACAATATGTTAATTTACGCTAATTATTATGCAAATTAGTCGCGACTCTACGAAAAATTTCTGGGGAGAACACTGTAACTCTAATCCTAGCCCCTGCCCCTCCAATGCCCTCTTCCATTCCAATTGCATATACCCCGCTTCAGGTCACTTGGAGGGGCATATTGATTTACATTGGGGGGCTTGAGTGATAGGGTTCTGGTTAGGAGGGCCTTAAGGAACTCTATAATGGTCCCAATGATCTACAACTATACCAACTATAATGGTTTCAATCTATAGTCAATATATACTTAATAACTTTTCAACTTACTGCAAGGCTTTCTTCTCGAGTTGATAATTTTTGCTGAAGATTTTCATTTTCCTCTTTTAATTTGTCAGTTAGACCTGCATAAAATCAACATTTTACTTCTGCTGTCTCAGTGTTACAATCTAAGCCCCATCATTGTTTTTCACCATCTAAGCCCCATCATTGTTTTTCACCATCTAAGCCCCATCATTGTTTTTCACCATCTAAGCCCCATCATTGTTTTTCACCATCTAAGCCCCATCATTTTTTCACCATCTAAGCCCCATCATTGTTTTACACCATCTAAGCCCCATCATTGTTTTCACCATCTAAGCCCCATCATTGTTTTTCACCATCTAAGCCCCATCATCGTTTTTCACCATCTAAGCCCCATCATTGTTTTTCATTATCTAAGCCCCATCATCGTTTTTCACCATCTAAGCCCCATGATCGTTTTTCACCATCTAAGCCCCATGATCGTTTTTCACCATCTAAGCCCCATCATCGTTTTTCACCATCTAAGCCCCATCATTGTTTTTCACCATCTAAGCCCCATCATTGTTTTTCACCATCTAAGCCCCATCATTGTTTTTCACCATCTAAGCCCCATCATTGTTTTTCACCATCTAAGCCCCATCATTGTTTTTCACCATCTAAGCCCCATCATCGTTTTTCACCAGAATTTGGTGCAATTTTTGCATATTTTCTTTAATGTAATTTCATTGTTAATTTTTAACCTAATGGATTTTATACTCCATTGGTCTTGATCTGTTTCTTTTTATATACAAAAAACCTTGTATGGGATAAATTCATGAAGCAGAATATATTAATATCTTTTCATAATGAAATTACAGTCAGTATTATTCTGACTGATATTGAATAATAGTGTGATAAAAGAAAATGGTAAAAAGCAAACCTTCTAATTCAGTGATTTCTTGCTTCATTTTCTCACAGCACATCAATGATTCAGTTTTGTCGGCTTCTGATACAATAAAACAACTGTTAGCCCAATAACATATCAAGTGTATTCTACCATTTGTCAATGTTAGCATTTGAATACAATCACATACCTAGTTTACTGTTGATGGCTGTCAATGTTAACATTAGAATACAATCACATACCTAGTTTACTGTTGCTGTCTGTCAATGTTAACATTTGAATACAATCACACACCTAGT